GCTATTCTTGTAAATCATACCGTTGGGCAACGATCAAAATTAGAGCTGACCGTTGCCAACGGTCAACTACAATTTAAAAAAAGGAAAAATGGCCTCCGGACAACCTAAACTTGTACCCATTTGTCAACTCAGTAAATAAACTTAGGACTTTCTCATTTACGCACTTCTACTTGATGAAATGCCTACTAATTGTGATGACCCGATAGGTCATCTTATGTTTTAGAACCTAATTCTGTATTTCGAAGCCTTAAATACCTCATTTTAGATTCCTTTAGTTGCGTGTGCAGCCTGGGCATTTTTTCGGAAGGCTTATGTGTTAAAAACTGATAAAATACGAATTTTTGCCTTAAAAATTCATTCGAGTTGACTTCGGTCAACATTTTTAGCAAATGGATCCGGATCTATATTTTGATGGTCCCTATGGGTCCGTATCGTAATTTGGGACCTGAGCGTATGACCGGAATCAAATTCGGAGGTCCCTAGCTCGAGTTATTAATTTTTGTTGAAAATTGAAAGTTTGAAAGTTCAATAATTTTTAAGAACTGATTGATGTTTGGTCTTGTTGATACCGGGTACGTATTTTGATTCCGGAGCCTGGTACAGGTCCATTACTATATTTATGACTTGCCTGTGAAATTTGGTGAGAAACGGAGTTGGTTTGACGTGATTCGGACGTCCGATTGTGAAAATAGAAGTTTTAAAGTTTTCTTGAAAATTTCCTTTGATTTGGTGTCTGATTCGTAGTTCTACGCGTTATTTGGTATTTATATCGCACGAGCCAGTTCGTATGAGTTTTTTGGACTTGTGTGCATAATTAGTTTGGAGCCCCGAGGGCTCGGGTGAATTTCGGATAGGCTACGGATGTTTTTGAACTTGGAAAATCTGGTTTTTAGACTTCTGTTGATATCTGGTGTATCCTTCTCCGAGTTCGCGAAGGTACACTCGCGAACGCGAAGAGTGAACTGGGGCTGAGTGGAAGTTCTTCTTCGCAAACACGAAGGCTGGGTCGCGAACATGGAGCAATGAGAGCATTACCTTTCACGAATGCAGCCAGCCTCTCGCGAACGCGTAGGCATGGGACCTGGGGGAGGGGAATTGATCTATACTCTTCGCTAACGCGGCACATGGCTCGCGAAACGCGTAGGCTGGTGGGTATAAGCCTTCGCGAACGCGAATGGTATCTCGCGAACACGTAGGCCTTTTGGGCCACTGCCTTTCTCGTACACGGCAGGCCCTTCGCGAACGCGAAGAGGGCCTGACGCCCAGACCTTAAATATTTTTAAAAACGGGATTCTTCCGTTTTTTCATAAACTCTCCATTAGAGCTCGGCCTAGGTGCGATTTTAAAGAGAAAACTCAACACCAATTCATAGGTTTGTACTCTTTAACTCATTTTCTTCCATTTCTAACATCATTCATTAATTCCTAGCCCTAATCGTTGTTCTTCCATGGTGAAAACTAGGGATTTAAAGAGAATTGGGAATTTTTGCAAATTGGAGATTTAAAACTAATTACATACTTGGGCTCGGGGGTGAATGGGTAAATGAATTTTGGTCCGAACCTCGAGTTTTGACCAAGCGGGCCCGGGGTCGGTTTTTTACTTTTTGGGGGAAAGTTTGGAAATTCTAAATTTATGCATTAAAATTGATTCCTTTAGCAATATTTGATATAATTGTGGCTAGATACGAGTGGTTTGGAGGCGGATTCTAGGGGAAAGGCCCCGGTAGAGCTTTGAATTGACTGCGGAGTGAGGTAAGTGTGGTGTCTAACCTTTACTTGAGGGAATTAGGAACCCTCGAACTATGTGCTATGTGAATTTCATGTGAGCGGCGTATATGCGAGGTGACGAGCACTTATACGCCGCTGAATTATCTTTTTCCCTGATTTTCCGCTTTTCCTTAATTATTTCCTTCCCTGTCTTAACTGTTATGTGCTCTAAATGCTTTCCATGCTTAACTTTTACCTGTTAATCAATATCTTAACCTGTTAATGATGTTAGCTCTATTTATAGTTTCATGATTCTCTGCTATTTGCTTAAATTGAGTTACTTGCACCTTCTAATTGTCAATTACTGGTTTGGTCTCCCTATGTAGTATTGCTTGTGTAGATTCCTATATTGTACAAGGTTTCCTCTTTTTGGTTCAGTTTGGTATTTATTGATCGTAAAGGTTTTCGTGGTTTGAACTGTCGATTTGACTGTGCACATTGAGTATTTGGTACTGATATGATGGGATCGGGCTGCACGCCGCAGCAGGTGTAATAAGGGTGGATTGATATGGTGGAATAAGGGTGAATTTATACTGTACGGTGGGATCAGGTTGCGCGCCACAACAGGTGGAATAAGGGTGGATTGTTACGGTAAAATAAGGGTGAATTATGATACTAATATCGTTATATTGTGGGATCGGGTTGCGCGCCGCAACATATCTATATATTATTTGTTGTTGTTGATGTTATTACGGTAAAATAAGGAAGGATTCTGTGTTGTCCGATGGGATCGGGTTGCGCGCCGCAACAACCTATGTGTTTCTATTTCCTTGAGCTGTGTTGATTTTCAGTATTGTTATTTGAAACTCTAAGGATTGGTAATTCTGAATGACACCGGTTTATTCCTTGAGGTTGTAGCTGCTATTTCAATTGACTGTCTTATCTTGTTCCATATTTCCTTTGTCTTCCTTTATTATATACTGCGTACAGGTTATAGTGTAAGTGACCCGCCTTAGCCTCGTCACTACTTCGTCGAGGTTAGGCTCGACACTTACTGAGTACATGGGGTCAGCTATACTCATACTACACTATGCACTTCTTGTGCAGATTTTGGAGTCAGTTCCAGCTGCGACTATTAGCGTGCTTGGATTGATCAGCTCAGCGGAGACTTGAAGTACAGCTGCTCAGCGCCAGCAGCTCCTGGAGACCCCTTCTTTGTTTTTATTTAGTTGTGTATTTTCATTCAGATAGCTCTGTACTTATTTCATACCCTTGTATGCATTATTCTAGTAGCTCGTGCACTTGTGAAACCGGGTTCAGATATTTATAGCAGATGTTTGGCAGTTTTAGCTTCTGCATTTATACTTTAGATTATTTCAGTTATTTTAGTTCTTCCTCGATATTTAATTCAAACTGTTAAAAATGGATAAACTGTTCTAACGTTGGATTGTCTAGAAAGTAAAATGTTAGGCGCCATCACGATCTCGATTATGAAAATCTCATATCGTAACACTAATAAACATATCTAACCGTTGACTATGCAAGCAACAATGCTTGCATGGCAATCACATGACTGCTGATGTGGTAAAGATGCGTGTCTATCACACTCATAAAGAGCGTGCATTTGGTGATTTTAGATTTTTAAAGAAACACTAAAATAAGAAAAACCAAAAATTAAAAAGAAAAAAGAAAATCTCTCCCGATAGCCTCTTCGTCTCCTTCTTTCTTCACGTCCACCTCTCCTAAACCCCCCTCCCTTCCTTCATCTTTCTTTGTTTAATTTCAACTCTTCTTCGTTCAAGCTTTCATGGCCACAAATCATTCCGGCAATTTCTGGGAACCCTTTTTTCTTTTTGCAAACGAAATGGGTACTCTTCAAACCTTCTCAAGCCCCCAAAACTACTCCGGCAAGCTCGTTGCTGCCGGAAAAATTCAGACAACGGCAGATTCAATTTCATAAGAAAAGTTCAGACGATGGCAGATTTAATTTCTAGGAGTTCCGAGTCTCTCCACATAGGGAATATTATAACTTTCTGAATGTATTACTGAATGAGAAAGAGGCTGTAGCCAGCTTTCCGAAAATTCCAGCGAGATAGGTTGCCGGATTAGTGACACCAGCAACTCCTTGACGGTCCTAGTGGAGCTATCGTGTAAAGGAAGAGAAAGAAAAAAATTAGATGTCATAAAGCAACTCTCTTCAATTCCGCCGGTGGCGGGCTGCTTTGTGCGGTTGCCATGCTTGGAAGAAGAATGGGAATAGATTTTAAAATTCTAATTACTAATTAGATAATGGGATCTACATTCTACAAAATGTAGATGTTAAAAAATAATAGGTTAAGTTGTGATGTGTTGTAATATCTCAACGATTGAAGAACACCCTCAAGGAGGGGTGTTTATTAGTAGGAATTTGATCAAATAGAAGTGCTTAAATGGAAAAGTCCTAAGTTCATTTACAGGGATGATAAACGGGAGCAAGTTTAGGTAATCCAAAGATCATTTTGTCAAAAAAAAATTTGAACTAGCCGTTGAATCGGATAACCGAAACCAAACTGATTTGACTTTACCGGTTCAACTGGTAGCACCATCCCAACCGGCACAGACCGAATTCCTAATTAAACCCAACCCTGTCTGGCCCTTTATAAACCGGGCCGGTCCAGAACCCGACCAGCCTGGCCTGTTAACCAGGTTTAGATATGTATGCGCCAATAAGAAAATGGATTACTAGTAAAGTTATCAATGTAGGCAGTAGCATTAAAATCCCCCATGTTCCAGTTTTTCTAATATAATGCAGTGATGAACTGATGATTCATCACAGATACGTTTTCTACCTAATATTTCTATTTTCTGGCATGAATTAGTTATGTAGTTCACCTATATTCAAATTGCATCAAATGACCCCTCCCATTTTATATATAGACGAAATTAAACAAATAAGGCAAGAGTGTGACAAGGCTGGTGAATTGGGCCCAGCCAATTCAATGAGATTGATATATTAGGAAACAGTTCTTTAAACCAAAAGATACTATCCCTTTTTTTTTTAGAAAAAAAAGAAAGATAATGACTCATCATTTTACATATAGATAAGACTCTTATTAAATAAAATAAAAAGAAGAGGTGAAGTTTAATCCAGCAAGTAAAGATACAACTGGCCAAAATTGATATTTCAATGGATCCTACAATAATTTATTTTAATGGGCTCCACGTGGCACCCAATTTCCAATAAGTAACAAAACTGTCACACTCATTCGAGTTTGACTAGGCTCCCTCGAATGTCCGATATTTTCATTGTCATGACTGCTTTAAATACATAAATTTATACAAACATCTCATTGTGCAAAAAAAAGTGAATGTGCTTACTTTTATTCTCTTTCTTTACATCATTTTTTTCCTGAGGAATTGTTAGGGGAAGATGGGGATGAAGAAGAGTTATTTGGCAATGAAGACAGATGCAGCGGTAGCAACTGATCTGATTGATTCAGATTTGAAGGAAATTGGTTTTGCTGCTAAGAAATTAGCTAAGCATGCCATTATGCTTGGTGGCATTGGTTTTGGCACTACTTTTCTCTCGTGGCTTGCTTCTTTTGCTGCTATGTAATCTCTCTCACCTCTTCTAAAATTTGAAAATTGCGCTGAGATAGATTCAGAATTTAAACTTTCACGAATATCATAACTTTATATATGTTGAAATTTTAGTAATTTTTTGACATGTACATAATTACAGTTACTTGCTGGTCTTGGATCGAACAAACTGGAGGAGTAACATGCTCACAACTCTCCTAATTCCTTACATTTTCTTGAGTCTCCCTTCTTTGTTGTTTGATTTATTCAGGTATTTCTTCATTCCCCTTCGAAACTTTCTTTAGCTATTTTTTAAAGCATGTTTTTCATACATAAGTTTATCTCTTTGCCTTTTCTAATTAATATGTAACACTTTGTATGTATGTTGTTGATAAATACAGGGGAGATTTTGGAAAATGGCTATCTTTGATCGCTGTTATAACACGCCTTTTCTTCCATAAACACTTTCCAGGTTCAATATATATACACCTTCTTCGCTCTTGCATATTGTAGCTTAACTTTTCTTATAGTCGATTTGATATCTAATTGGGAGATAATACATACAAAAGGTTTCAATCAAAAACAAAATCATAATTAAAACAGCAAAAGGCCAAATATATCCATGTATTATGATAAAAGGTTTAAATATACCTTATGTTATACTTTGGGTCCAAATATATCCCTGCCGTAGTACTATTGGTTCAAATATATCCTCTTATGTTAAGTTTGTCCAAGGTGAACATAGTGACACCGATATTTGATGAGGTGGACATGCTACCTCAACGCCCCTAATCCATATATAAAAGACTAAAATATGCAATACAATATTTTTCATGGTAGCGGTAATGGTGACAATAGTGATGTAGGGGAAGGAAATTTTGGTGGTGGAAAAAAAATAAAAGGGAGGGATAAAATGGGTTAGGGGCGCTGAGGTGGTAAGCTATGTGGCATCCCCTCATCAAATGTTAGTGCCAAGTAGGATTGGATGTCCACTTTTAACAAACTTAACGGAAAAAGGATATATTTGAATCAATAGTATAACGACAGAGGTATATTTGGATTCAAAGTATAACGAATGGTACATTTAAACCTTTTCTAATAGTACATGGGTATATTTGACCCTTTTCCGTAATTAATGAAACCGCATTTGTTTTCTATGGTTATGCAATTTCAAGCGGATTAATGCAATCAATACATGGACAAGATTATGCTTATTTTTGACAATTTTGAGTGCAGATTGGCTAGAAGCACCAGCAGCTCTGGTCCTTCTAATGGTGGTGGCTCCTAGTTTGTTGGCTGACACCTTCAGGGATAGTTGGATTGGTACGTTGGTTTGCCTAGTAATTGGATGTTATCTTTTACAAGAACACATTAGAGCATCGGGAGGTTTCAGGAATTCTTTCACTAAAGCCAATGGCATTTCAAACACTGTTGGGATCGTTCTCCTTTTGGTATATCCAGTTTGGGCATTGATTCTACACTTCCTATAAACAAAGTCGACAATATTGGCTCTTCTTTCACGACGACTTGTCATGATTGCAATTTGCTTGGAAGATTTGAGTGTGATTGTTTTTTCTTCGGTTTATTTGAATTTTTAGTACATGTTGAGTTATTCGCTTCCATTACCCTATTACCTTGTTGTTGCAATTGTTCGTTGATTTAGTTTCATTGTTGCTTGAGCTGAGAGTCTACTATCTATGGTCTGCATACGCACTACCCTCCCCAGACCCTACTTGTGGAATTATAATGGGTTTGTTGTTATTGTTATAAAGTCCATATGAGTAATAATGTAATAGATTGCTTGCTTCTTGTCTGAATAATGTGTTTTTGTGTCCAGAATTCGTTACCTTATATACCATGAATTGTAGATGTTTGTGTAAAGAGATGACAACGTACATTTTCGTTTTCCTCGTCTATTTTAGGATCTGGGTTTTTCCTCTGAAAGCTCCCATAGTAAAATGAATATATAGAGACTTCCTTTTACAAGTTTCAAGTATCTATCCATTAGAGTTGAGCATAATCAAATTCAAACAAAAAAGAATGTTTTTTTCTTTTCCCAAAGAAGAACGAATAAACCAAACCTCGCCTAAGTAGCCATTGATGCCCAACCCCACGGACGAAGTCAGGAATTTTGCAAAAGGTGTTCAAGGTTTAGTTTATAATTATAAAAAATAAGTTTTTACCTATTTATATAATATAATTTTTTATATACTCATTATAATTTTTCGACGAAGAATGTTCAGTTGAACACCCTTCATTCTATGTGGCTACGCCACTGCCCACGGGTAGTATTCATCAAAAGTTATAGCATTCTAAGCTTGGTAAATGTGGATCTGGATCATTTCAGGAATTTCTATTTGTATGGTTGAAGGTGCAAAAGACTCATTAAACTAGAAGCTTAGTATGAAATACTCTTCTTTTTATTTCATTGGCAAATGATATAGCAAATTTAGTGCCTCAAATTTGCATACTCTGAACCTCAAGATTCCAAATTTTATATGTTTGTGATTTCATAGGAGTATCTATACATAAAATAAGGGCAATGATCGCGGAAAGTACATGTGTATGCTCTTTCTAATTTATCAGTAATGTGCACTTGATAATAATGTTGAACTTCCGAAAGAATCAGCTGAAGCTTGCCAATTCATCAGCAAGTCCAAGTTCTATGGCTTCAATCTATGCAGTTTTTGCATTACCTTCTTTGCACAGTTGATCGATAATGTCCTGCATACACAACATAAAACACTATTAAGTGAGCTGATACAAATCTTAACAGGTGAAATCTAGACATACAGAGTGCGAGAGGTGGGAAGATTAACAGGACTAGACTAATGAAGATCTCTCTAAAATGCTGAAAGTTAGCTTTTGCAAGGTTCCTTCTGTGCTGTTCCACACCTCTTTGACTTCAAAACAGTAACATATCCTTGGTTTTATTAGGTAACAAGCGATACAGATAAAGTGACAGTCATTGTTACAAAGAACGTATTGAAACATAATATAATTAAGCAATTAAAAGTGTCTTCTCTCTATCATTAGACGAGACCATGTTGACTCGTGTGACCATCAAAGCTTTTAGGTGAGAGATTGTGCCACAATTCAACATAAGGGATATATTTTTGGCTTAAACAAACAAAAGTGTATACCTTGTAATAGTTGAGCAGCTGTGGCCTTTTCAGTTTGAATGTTGGAGTAACTAAATCTCTCTCAATGTCAAAAGGATTTGGCTCCAAATGAACTGCACGTAACATTTCAAAACCCCGAAGCTGGTGTTTCTTGGCAGTACTGTTGAGTTCATCCAAAATGTACTTCCTCGCCTTTGAGTTATTGCATAGAGCTGAAAAATCTCCAGTTTCTTGATTACTTGATGCCCAATCTTCAAGTGTCTTTCTTTCTGGAACTACCACGGCTACTAAAAAGGATTCAAAACTATTTCCATATATCCAGATCTGTGGACCAGATTATGAGTTAGAAGGAAATTTTGTCGCATGGGACATACAGTAATCTAATGAAAGCACCAACTCATGTTTAAAACTCCCAATTAGTATAAAGGAAATAAGGTAAGCAGGGCTGGTAGACCCGTCCCAAAGTTCAAACGTTTTGATTGTTAGCACTTATGGTAATTTTGCGATGTTTAGATTTTCTCTTTAGAGTATGATTATTTTGTACATCCTGCAACTCTTATTACTAGAAAGGATTTTAAGTTATATACAGTAGTATATGATCATTGTAATGTAACTTATTATAGCACGTAAATTGCCATTTTTATCAGGTTACCAATTAATACTTACCGATGTTATAAGTGGGCAACTGGAGTATACCCCTTCAATGCTTTCCACAGCCACATACTCCCCTTGAGACAGCTTGAATATGTTCTTTTTACGGTCAATGATTTTCATTGCTCCATCTGGCTGCAACTCACCAATGTCACCTGCAATTTTTCCCATGCTCAGAATACGTTTGCACAAATCAATTGTTACAGCTCAAGACTAATGATGTAAACTATCATCAGATAATTGTAAATTGCATTGCAACTTCAGTGATACTTCAATTCTCCATAGTGTCTACTTTTATTGATGGTTGAGTCAAAACAAAGCATGCTCATTTCCACCGTATGAACATGACAACACTGTGAAGGGGAGCTTTGGCGTAACTGGTAAAGTTGCAGCCACGTGACCAGGAGGTCACGGGTTCGAGCCGTGGAAACAGCCTCTTGCAGAAATGCAGGTTAAGGCTGCATACAATAGACTCTTGTGGTCCCGCCCTTTTCCGGACCCTGCGATAGCAGGAGCTTAGTGCACCGGCTGCCAATTTTGAACATGACAGCACTGTGAAGAAGTAAGAAGGTTTATTGCTCTTTCTCTTCATTACCTGTATGAAACCATCCATCCACAAGTACTGCTTTTGTAAGATCTTCTCGTTTATGGTACCCCGAAAACAAGGTTTTTCCCCTCAGACAAATTTCTCCGCGTGGTACACTTGCAAGCGCATCATATCCCATTTCAGGCACGGACTCAAGTCTTGCCTCTATTGTAGTCATTGGAACACCAACAGTTCCTATCATGGGGTGTACATTGGCTATGGATGTGAAACATCCTCCACAACTTTCAGTAAGACCTAACATTGAAGAGTAGGTCAAAATAAGCACAAGAAAAGGTTAAAACTGACGAAGAAGAGCGGTGAAAATGCTACTATCTATTTCACTATGAGAATCAACAATATATAAAAAGTAGCAATTCTACTAGCTACAATAACATCCAGGCTTTTCAAAAGTTGTACACTCTTATTTGGGCTTCACATGAGTTTATATGATTTACTACATATCCTTTTAGGTGTTAGGCCCCCAAAATGTGCAAGGAAACACAGAAAAGGGATCTTAGGATTTAAGGTGAATAAAGGAAACTTTGACAAATTATGAAAACATAGTAAGTTTACTACTAGTATGCAATACCATATCCTTGTGCTAAAGAACAGCAGCATGTCACCCTTAGAAATTCTTCGACATGCTTGGGCAAAGGAGCAGCTCCAGAAAGCATGAGACGAACTCGTCCACCAAATGCTAGTTTGATCTGGAATGAGAAGTATATGCAAATAAGTCAATCGGATTATGGACCAAGTAAATGCTAGGGATCGGATAGCAAACCTTGTCAAAAACCAGCCTGTCAAAGCGAGGAGCTGCTTCATCTTGTCTTAGTCCTTTCTCCATATTCCTTAACTTGCTGAAAAAACATATACAGTAGAAATGAAGGGAAACAAATGCAAATAATGCTGATCTAAGCACAGAAACATTATAAGAGGACATACTAGTTATATGCATATTGGAAAAGCAGCTTCTTTAACAAACCTCCAGCTTCAATTTTATCCATCACACCTGAATGTCCCACACCCGAAAACAAAAATTAATAGAAAAGAAATAAGGAAACAAAACTAATTGATGTAAAAAATTAAGCCTGAATTTTGTTCACTGAACAGTAGATTAGAGACCTGTGTATATCCTGTCAAAAACTCTTGGAACTCCACAAAATATAGTGGGCTTCAATACCAGAAGATCCTCAATCAAGTATCTAATGTCCTGTTATTCAGATGCAAACATTTATTTGATTCAATTGAGCTTGAACAAAGAGCAAGTTTATAAGCAAAAAAAAAAAAAAAAAAAAGCTATAAGTAATTCACGGCACAAATAATATATGTATCTTACGCCTTGCCAAAATCCTATTGAAGCACCCCTGTATATGCAATACGTCTCAACTATCTGATCAAATATATGAGCCAGTGGAAGGAAAGAAAAGTACACATCCTCTCCTGTTCCCTGAAATTGGCACAAATTAATAAAAGCGATATCGCGCTTAGCTATTATTGCACCACTGAGAATAAGATAGAAAATATATAAACCTGCAGGAGATTCATTATAGCCAAATAGGATTTGCTGGTAACTTAATGATTACTATACTCAATTTAGAACTCCGGGCCATATCGTGAAATATGGAGAATGAAAATCTTGCTTAGGAGATTAAAAGTGAGCACTTAAATCACAATTCCTGTCAAGTTTTGCAGATGATATGATGTCTTAAGTTCAAGCTAGATTAAAATGATTGCTTGCGATGGAGCAAGAAAAGACACTAACAAACACAAATATTGATGATATTGGTTAAATTGCAAATCTTACGTCTAGATTTCCAAAGAGTTAAAGGCCACACGTCTTCACAAGCTAGATATCTAAACTTTCAGGAGCAATAGCTCAAAATTACCTCTTTGTCTGTTTCAGCGAGAAGTTGATCCATCGATAGAACTTCTGCCATGAAAGCCCCATTAGTCAAAATGACGCCTTTGGGTTCTCCAGTAGTTCCGCTTGTGTACATAATTGTACATATATCAGTCTTCCGTTTCTGAGGAAGTTCATGATCCAAACTTCCCTGGATAGAGTGATATAAAGCTTAGGCGAAGGCACAAACAACTAGTTATTAGAGTGCAGGTAACTGAATATGATATTTTGCATTAATATATTGCCTTTACCATTTGAACAAACTCATCCCATGAGAAGCAAGCTACTCCTTGTTCCTCTGCTTCACTTTTCTGCGTGCTGGAAATGTTTCCAAAGCTGACGATAGCTTAAGAAAAGATATACAAGTTACTCTTATTGAACTTTCAAATACCAGCTTATTTGACAAAGTTAATAATTTCACCTACTTTTTAGGTAAGAATTGCAGTTTGACAAGCATGATAAGATCTGCAAAAGAAGTTAATGATTAACTTAAAGAATGTTATCTATAGCTAATCGTCTCTAGAATTTGGACGATATATCAATCAGAAGTATTAATGCATCAGATAACTCATTGAAAGAACATAATCAGCAGTTCAATGAAAATCCACATAGCACTTTCAGAACCATCACTTTAGTCCTCATTGTCTTAGTTTCAATGTACAATATAATTTGCAGTTCACGAATAAGAAAAGCAAAAATATGACGTTGAGGAAAAGGGAAGGAGATTATACAGCCGGTATCTTGCTTTCTTGGGCAAAAGCTATTGAAACTTCAGCGTGGTTTATGATAAATTCCACTGCATTTGCACCTGCAATTCAGGCAAGTTCAAAGAACAAATCTACAATTATGCTCTTGTGGAGAACAGTTTGACAACTTCTCTTTATTGTTTTGCAAAAGGTAGCGACGACAGAGAAATTGAGAGTAAGAAGATACCAAGGGAATCATAGAGTGGTACATATGAAATTCCTTGGCTGTTACAAGCCTGTGATCAAATTGAACAGACAAAATTATTGCTCCAAAGTAACAACAAACTGAAGGTAATACAAGTTTTGGCTATTAATTTTCTTAAGAGGGATGCAACTCGCAAGTTGGATATATGTCTTTGGTTTGTGAGAAAATCGATAATTTAGAACAGTAAGTGTATACCTCCATAGCCATTATCCACTCAGGAGAGTTCACACCATAGATGCCACATCTGTCTCCCTAAGTAACCAGAAGTATACTTTTAGATGCAACTTAGCCTAAATGTGTGAAAACTCAAGAGTATATTTTGAGGGTAATTCAATGATTTCAATGGACTAGCACTCACCGGATTGACACCACGGCTTCGGATGGCTGAACCAATCTTGATTGTGGTTTCGTAAACCTCCTCATATGTCAACCAATTGTAGGCACCTGCCTGTAAACAAAGCTCAAAATTCATTCTCTTTCCCCATTTATATCAATTCATTTCCTCTAGTCTATTTGTTCCAAATGGACTGCTAGATTGAAAAGTTTTCTTTTACTAGCAAAGTAAACAATTTAAACCAACACTAGCTAGTTACAATTTGAGAACTAAATAATGTGACACTATCTCCTTTTCTTCATTGTTCATTCATTATTTGGTTATTTCTTAAAAACCCCAACATTTTGTATTATATGTTGAATTGATAGGTTATTAATGATCACTAACGCTTATGCTTAGACTCATCTAAATAATTGAACTCTGAAGAAACTCTACCTTGTGGTCAACAACCTTACGGCGGCCCAGCATTTGGTTTTTGGGATTCTTCTTCACCGATTCACTGCAAAGCATAAAAAAATTGATGTTTTACAATGTGCACATGACAATGATCAAAAAGGGAAGAAGACCTAAAAGAACAAGCATGAAACGATACATCTTCTCCTTAAAATCAATTCCAGTAAACTCTTGAAACTCTCAATTATGAGGTACATTGTGTGAAAAAGAGCTACACTCAAAGATCAGCAACAATCAATCTACTAAGCTTCAATCCCCGAGTTTACTATATGAACCATTTTAACCAGTTCAGATGACTCATCACAATCTATGTTGCGCGGACTCTCCAAAATGCTGCCGCACCCGTGTCGGATCCTCCAAAAATACACTACTTTTGGAGGATCCGACACGTACCCGACGACATTTTCGGAGAGTCCGAGCAACATAGATCACAATCATATCCTCCTCTTTCATCAAAGGCAATCCGGTCCACTAAGTTTCCGCTATGCGGGATCGGGGCGGATGCAGCATATTTATACACCAAGTTCATCTAAACCCGGTTCAGTATTTTTGACGCGAAGTATATACTTACGGTAAAACTTTACTAAAATTACAAAGAAAAAAATACTAGGTATGAAACCATAATTTTAAAAATACAATAGGCTTAAAAGCTAAAAGCCTTAAATGTTGAACGCATAGAGTTTAAATCATGTATCTGCTTATGGCCGCATAAGATATATTATATGCAGTATTTCTTTCATTTTTACGCAGGCTATTTTCACGACTTGAAACCGTGACCTCATGGGACAACTATTTGCATGTATGTAATTGAAAAATTCACTAGAATTACGAGGAAAAAAAAAAAAGAAATGAGATATTCAAGTGAGTAATTTACCTGAAGAAATCCCAAGGTGACTCAAAACTAAAAGGCATTTCCATGAGACCATCTTTAGCATAAATGCACCTATAAACTAGCCCTGCAGATGGCTTTCCATCAACTGCCGGTCGACTTTCTTCAACTTTCACCGTATAACTTTCCATTCTTCCCTAAAATTAAAAGAATCCACAACTTATCTTTCTTATCAATCCAAGTGATGTTATTCTATGAATTTATACATGAATAGATCAAATTTAGCTCAAACTTAGTCCACAAAAGTCAAGAGAAAAAGGAGAGAGTTGAGGAAAAGGTGGTTAGTTGAGCAGAGGTAAATGCAGCGAAATTCATGACATGCCAGCTAACTGATTATGGAGGCCTTAATTGGTTTCAGTAACTGGCACCTACTTTTCTTGGTGTCTATTATTCTCATATACCATACACAAACAAAACAAGAGTAAATTGGGTAGTTGAAGTTTGACATTTTTCATCAATTTGATCCTGAAACTTAATATCTATTCACCTTGCGAGAGTGTGATTTAACGGTTAATGATACTCCCTCCCGTCGTGATTTTTTAGCTTTTTTCTTGTGGTCCAAAATAAGTGATTTTTCCAGATTTCAAAAATGAATTAATTATTTTTTTCCTACATTGTCCTTGGAGTAAATAGTGTTGGAATATGTGTTAGGAGTATATATGTGAGATAGTAAAGGTTGGTCAATTCTATTGCTAATTAATGCTAAAAGGTGGATTTCTTAATCTGTGTGAAAACATCCAAAAAATCACTTATTTTGGACCGGAGGGAGTAAAATTTTAGAAAAGAATTAAATTCTAGGTAATTTCTTTTTATTTGCTTAAACTAACGACTTACAAACTAAGCTCCCGTTTGGCACAGATTTTAGCTTCATTTTATTAAAAAAAAATTGAAAATATTGTTTGTTTATGTAATATGATCATGTTTTGGGAACAAAAATTTCCAAGTTTTCGAAACTGGTTTATGACAATTGTTGGATGATTTTTTTTTCCACTAACAAAACTTCAACTTTTCTTCAAATAAAATGTATGTCTAAATACAATTTCAATTTTCCAAAATTATTTTTTAACACAATTTCAAAAACTCGTTTTTGAAGTTTCAATAACATAGGGTCAGTTTAGCATGTGACCCGCAGATGAGAAAGAACATGTTATTAAATGTGCTGCAAAGGAAGTAGTTGGAAATTGATGACTACTTATTGACGTTGGATTTCCAGGGTCAAGCTAGCTTAGTGAGCTCAGCTAAGCTATATTATCATTAACATATAATTTTATAAAACAAACTATATTCAACAAAAATTATTTTTCTACGCACTTAAGTTTTCTTATCGACCAATTTGAATTACATACGGTATCCAAATTGGTCCAGACATTTTATACATATTAACTTGAAATATGTTCAACCGCCCATTTAAGTCTAGACGAGTTAAAAGGTACTCCTCCGGTCTATAATAAGTGGGTTTTTTTCTTTGGTATACCCATTAAGAAAATATTAACTTCTAGAGAAAAAAATTGTATTCACTAAATTACTCTTAAATCTTAATTAGAATTTGCATATTGTTACCTTGACACATTGAGATATGTAAATAAGGGCAGATTCTGAAAAATAAAATAAAGTCCTTCTTGATTATGCAAAGACACTTATTTTGGACAAAAAAAGGGGTCAAAATGTCACTTAGGGAGTAATATTTTATGAGCTAAATTTGACATTATTAAAAATGAATAGTATTAATTTTGTCGTGGAGTTAATAACTCTAAAAGATGGGTGGATGGGTGAAAGCAAGGTTGACCTTTGGACATGTTATTTGTCTGTGCTTCCTGCACAAATTGTGACGAAAATGAGAACTATAATCAAAAGAAACCTATGCGGACAAATCTTACCGTTCCATATGTCCCAGTACTACCTCAATCTCTGAAATATCGTAAATTTTGTCATCAATTTATATAAATATTTTGTCTTCTATTCTGGTTTGTGTTTTGGTACTGTCAGTATATAGATTCGTGGAACCCTTCATTTTCTATCAAAAAATTAATATTTTCACACAGAATCAATGTCTTCCTCCCCCTATAAAACCAGTATGTTCTAAAAAATGAACTCTCACCTTATATAGTACCCTTAACCAAAACAATTAAACAAATAATACAGTTAAATTAAGATAGCGAGTAAGATTATATTACATCTTGACCATCTCTGCACTATAATAAGACCATTTTTTTTTTGGTGGAGAGGTTAAAGTTCTTTACACTATGGTTGCTCAAGAAGCTCAACCAATAAAATTCACAGTCTGAAGGAAACTCGAGTATTAAATGTAGCATTACCACATAGGATATTCAAATTCCAGTCTCATGTTCAAGGATGACTTCAAATATTACGATCAACATCTCTTCTAAATATTTCTCCCTTGTTATAGAAAATTGATTTATACTGAAAAATATTTGTTCTTGGATTTATTGCTATGAGGCATATCATAATCATGGATGACTTATTGAGATAGAGTGGCAAAAATAAAAAAGTAGAAACTAGGTAGGCCAGGGTGCTACACATATCTGTCGGTCAATCAAAAACTTCTCCATCTTCAATGTATGTCTAGCATAAAATTTCCATTTTTTCACTTGAAATTTGGGATTTGACAAAAAGAAAATGGAAAATATTACTATACTACTTATATATATATACACAATCACATGAACAATAATCCAACGAACACATTAGTAGTAGATGTAGACTTAAAAAATCGGAAAATATATTTGGCCAAACAAAGAATGGCCCAAACGTCCCAAATAATGGTAACTTCGCACGACTTTTAAGGGCATAATAGATATTTGTGCATTTTCGTTTTCCATATGTACCCTTTGGCAGATTTTTCGTTTTAATTTAATTTTTTTCAACAATTCTCTCTCACTAATTTAATTGTCTTACCTTCCCAAGATGCATGCTTCATCATTTTTCATAAAGCACATATACATATACTATACTAATTAAACGAAATACACTAAAATATACATATACTATACCAATTAAACGAAATACACTAAAATATACAGATAATATATTAGAGGAAATATGTATAAAAATTAAACTACTGGTATTTATGATTAAAGTGGTCACTTTCTTACCCTAAACACTTAATATATTTGGCCAAACCTAAAAAGCTTTTCCAGCCCCCCATTTTTCTATCTTTGTTTTCTCCTTCTTCTCTCTTATCTTTCTTAGGGTTAGATTAAGGAATGGACCACGGGAAGAGGAATAATGCTTCGAAAGTTTATATAGTGTTTCGTGGTAAGAGGCCTGGATTGTACAACTCTTGGCAGCGGTGTGCTCCTATGGTTATTGGTGTCAAGGGCAGCATCTTCAAGGCCTTCAAAACGTATGATGAAGCCATAACAGCTTTTAATGAGTTTAGAAATGGATCTCAAGCTGATAATATATCGGCATCGAAGGTGTATGTAGTATTTCGTGGTAAAAATCCAGGATTATACAACTCTTGGTGTGAGTGTGCTCATATGGTTATAGGTTTCAAAGGAAGCATCTTCAAGTCTTACAAATCTTATGATGAAGCAGTAGCAGCATTCAATGAATTCCAAAAAGGAAATGTTTACAGTGAAGAACAATCTTCAAGTTCATGAAAGTGATGTTGGAGCAAGTGCTATGTCATCTGTGTTGTTAGCTGGAATGTTTGTAGGGATGAAGATTTCAAATAATTATTCAGGTTGATTGTTCATAAAAGTATTTTGTTCAGCTTTTGATTATTGTTTAGTTTGGTTATTATTAGTTTGATTGTTTAGTTTGATGTGTTACTGGTTGCCGCATTCAACCTCTGTAGAATAGAGTATTTAGGATGACAAAGCCTTTGTCTTTTGTACTCCATGTTGGAATGAAATAAAATATGTCTGTTGATTTCTTTTTTGAACTAAACTGAATGTTTTAATTTGTCTATATTGTTGGAACCTTGTAAGTGCCATAGTGTTATCATTTTGCACTTGTTTTAATCCGTACTACATTGATTCATAAGCACTCAACTATCTTCAAGTACTCATCAACTATCTTCATAAGTTCAGTATGTGCTATATTTTGCATCTTCGGAAGTACTAAACTATCTTCATATTTATTGACAATGCATTTTCATATTGTCCAATGTTGGTGTCATAAGTTGAATGTGTTATATTAATTTGGAAAATAAATTGACAAATTTTAGAGGACTTAATTAATCATTACAAATGTTACTATTAGTACTTTCATTTCATTAGGCATCAAACGAACAGTTGCAATATTGAAGACAATAGGACTGTTTTGTTAACTTGAATCAAACAATCATTATGCCTCACTATTTTTTGAAGGGCTTTCTATACCCTTGTGTTGTGTCATCAAACTCTATTTTTGCTAATACAAGACCCTCATGTAATCTGGAAAAATTTCATAAAAAAAATAAAAAAAGCTTCAAAACATAATAATAATTTCATTCATTAATATTCGATTGCATGATAACATCACCAAAACATAACAAGATAAATAAAAATATCACCATAAGGGGTAGACAACTTCATAGACTATTAGAAAAATATCACCATAAGCAAAAAGACAACTTGAGATAAAACTTCATAATGCATGGACTACTCAATATTCTGGTTCAAGGAAAGAGACTTTGAGGTCTTGGAAGCGGATTCGGTATCACTAGTGATAACAATGATAGAATTGCTCTTAGCTCCATTCTGGACGGATGGTGTGGGCATATCGTCAAGCATAGTATAGAGTGAAGTTAGAGGATGCTCCTCCAACATTACACTTTTTAGGTAATCAATACTTGAATCACGAACCACCCTCTCAATCAATTCATTAACCTCACGCTTCAGCTTGCTATAGTCACGCTTAAGATCTTGGTACAAAATATTATGACTAACTGGTGAACCATGGAATGGTTGTCCAACAGCTTTCTTGGTCGGAGTCCTATCCATCGTTATGCTTAGATGTAGTAGTATTTTCAGTTTGATTGTTTTATGTAAGTCTAGCATATTTTCCGAAAAATATATAGGGAGGATTATAATCTCTCAATTATAATAGCTATTTCACATCCCAGTAGGAATTAAAGTCTCTTTGTAGAGAACATATGCAACCATTACACTTTCCAATAGCCATACCCGCTCCTCCACGCGGACATTACACATCCTAGCAGCCCCTTCCAATCCTCCATGCATCCATTGCACTTCTCCATGACTACAATTAATTATAGAAGTTTGTCTTTAATTTATTCCGCCTATACAGATTTTGGATATTTTTTTAAAAAAAAGACTTCTGCCATATAGTGGCAGTGCACTTCATAGGTTTTATGTCATAGTCTTACCTTAGAAGACTTGAGTAATCCATATAAAGA